AACGGCCCGAGTACTTGGGCCCCTGCCACCCGTGTGGGAGACCTGGATGGAGTCCCAGCCCCTGGTTTCAGCCTGGCCCAGCCCAGGCCATTGTGGCCATTTGGGGACTCAGCCAGCAAATGGAGGATCTGTCTCTGTCTTCCCCCCTCTCTCTGTAACTCTGCTTTTCAAACAAATAAATAAAATCTTTATTAAAAAATTAAAAAACAAAAGAAGATGCTAGCCCTGATCCCTTTTCTGACCCACTCAATTCCTCTGGGTTGTGTCAGACTGAGAGGTAGACTATGGCTTTGTCCTGGGTGAAAATAGAAAGTGAAAAGCCTGAAACAAAAATAGTAAAGAGTCCACATTTAGTGCATGTTCCCACGTGCCAGATACTAGCTAAGGTGTTCCCTCTTTTAATTCTTGTCAGACCCTACAGGGCAGATTCTGTTACCATTATTCTCCCATCTCACAGTTGAGAAAACTGAGGGTCAGAGACCATGTGTCAAGGGTCCCCTAGCTGGTATATGGTAGAGCTGGATCAAATACGAGCAAGGTGAACTTCCAGTCCGTGTTGGGGAAGGTTTTTCATCCTCCTGGAATCAGCGGCTTTGTGAAACTACTTCCTCACTTGACACATGAACCTAGCATAACTCGCTCCCTCCAGAAGGACACTCTGCCCTTGTGGAAGCTAATGATACTCGCTGAGGCCGGGAGTTGATGGCAGGGTCTGGAATGAGAAGTGAGAAGGAAATGAGTGCCTGAAGGAAAGATTAATTTGGGAAAGGCCCAAAAAAGGAAGCTGCCACGTGCACATCACGTGCACAGCAGGTGCACACCAGGTGTGACTCTGCAAAGTGGTGGTGGCCTTGGGCTCATCACCACTCCTGAGCTGGTACCTCTGGGGGCCTGACACCAGCAGCCTCTCCCAGAGCGAACTTGAGAAGGGAAGATGATGACTCTGTTGCTGGGCTGATGGAGGAACCAGCTGAGGAGGTGCTTCAGGGGCCAGAGTGACACGCGGGGGTGGGGGTGGGGGGGGCAAGAGACAGATGTTGTTGGCAAGGAATGGGAACAGGAAGATGTTTAAGATCCCTTTGGCTAACTTTTATGGAGATTCCTATTTTGAGAAGGTCAAGGTTGAGCCTGTGTCATACAGGACATGAGACATAGCCTTGGTCTTTTATAAGTAAGACCAAGTAAGAGTTTCCCTTCTTTTACCCACAGCCTGGCAACCTTTGATGGCCTGGCACCGTGTTGGCCTCTCTGGGCTTTTGAAGACGAGTGCTGCTCCCAGGGGCTGGGAGGTGAGTGAGCAGGAGGCAGGATGTCAGGCAGGAGGTCCTCTTGGAGGCGGGCTCCCCTGCAGGATGCCCTGTCACCATGGGGGGGGCTACCTAACTCTCCTGCTTGCTTCTCTGTGAACAGGCATTTCCCTCACAAAGTGGCGGAGAATTTTCTAGTGGGAATGTATGTAAAAGTGTTTAGCAAATTGCTTGGCACACGGTGAGAATTCCGTAAATGGTAGTTTCCGTGACACTCACCGGGTGGAAGAATGGCTAATTAAACAGTGACCTAAGTCACTGAGGGAGCGCAGAAGAGGACATACTGAACTCTGCCCGGAGCAAGACATGGGGACAGGAGTTCCACTCCAGGCTTCGTGCAGGAGGGAGGAGGTCTCAGAGGGGGTGCCCAGGTGATGCAGATAGGCTGGCCACCCCTCACCCATCAGAAAACCACTAAATTTTTAAAAGTAGCTTTAACTTTTTCTTACTTAAAGATTGCATTTCAAGGGTGGCCGTTTGGCCTTGCAGTTAAGAAACAGGTTAGGATGCCCGCATCCCATACCCGAGTGCCTGGGTTCAAGACACGGTTCTGGCCCTTGACTTCAGTTTCCTGTCAATGTAGACCCTGGGAGGCAGCAGGTGATGGCTCAAGTAGTTGGGTTCCTGTCACCCACATGGGAGACCTGGATTGAGTTCCCATCTTCAACTTCGCTCCCAACCCCTCTGTTGTGGGCATTTGGGGAGTGAGCCGGCAGATGGGAGCTATCTTTTTCACTTTCTATCTCTCTGCCACTCAAAAAAAAATTTGCATTTTGTAAAACTTGGAAATTAGGAAAAAGAATCACCATGATCACAAAATACCCATCACCAAATATTTGGTGCCCCCACCCCCATTTTTTTTTCCTCAAGGATTTCTTGTTGTTTTTAACAATTTCAATCATGGTGCAAATTATAGTTCATATTTTGAATTTCTACCTTGCAATGCAACCATAGACATTTATATAACATAGTTTTCATAATGGGTTTTTACTTTAAACTTTTAAACTAAAGAGAAATAATTTTCTTTTTAAATACAGAAATACCTCACATTCTCTTTTTAAAATTCCAATTGAAATGGACATTTTTTAAAAGTGTAAATCTCATGTAATTCTGAGTCAAAGGTTATCACTGAGTATTTCAATAAATTAGATTTTTCGTGTGCAAATAAACACATATGGACTTTTTAAATTAAAAAAAGGCATTGGGTTACTTTATAACTTACTTTTTTCACGTAATTATACATCATAAATATGTTTCCACTTCAGTAAGTATAAGCAAACACAATGTTTTTCAAGTGGCTGCACAGATTTAATGGACTACATCAAATGTATGTTACCATCTAGTTCTGGATATTTCTGTTGTTTTCTGTGTTTGTGTGTGTGAGTCTGCATCATGTGAATTAACCATCATTTTCATAAACATGTGGCTATTTTGGATATTTAGGTACTCATTCTTGTTTTTTTGTGTTTTTTTTTTTTTTTGGGGGGGGGGCTATCGTAAATAACAATGCCTTGAAGATCTTCAGGCATATGGCTTTTCTCATATTTTGAATAATTTCCTGGAGTGGAAGGATCGGGTCAAAGGGCAGGGACGTTTTATGATTCTTGATTTGAATCACCAAGGTGCTTTCTCAAAGGGGTGTTTGTGCCAATTCAGATCCTCCTGGCAATGCGTTGGTCCCAGTTTCCCACCTGCTGCCTGGGACCTACAGGTGGCTGAGTGGACAAGAAGACATTTTCCTGAAGAAACTGGACCCAGGGGACAGGATTGAGGGAGGGGAGGTCAGGCATGGGGAATGGAGGCAAAGGGGAGGAGAAAGAAGTGACACAGAATACCCTTCTGCCTGTCAATTTTTTCCAATTGAGAAAGTAATTCATGCTGTTTGTAAAAAGAAATCCAAACTTTTCCACAAACATTTTAATGCTGAGCCCTCCACTGGTAACAACAGATTGGGTGTACTCTTCCAAATTCTTTCTTTTTAAAATTAATTAATTTATTTTGGAAGTGAGAGAGAGACAGAGAGATTCCCCCATCCACCATTCACTCTCCAAATAGCAGCTGTAAGGCCGCCACAAAATACACCAAACACCGGAGTAAGGGAGTCAGGAGTCAGAGAGGAGAGAGAGGAGAGAGAGGGGAGAGAGAGAGAGAGGGGAGAGAGGGAGAGGGAGAGGGGGAGGGAGAAGGAGGGAGAGAGAGAGAGAGAGAGAAGTAGGAGCATCGAATCCCATTAGGATGGGGGTGGGGCTGACATTGGTGGTTGTGCCATATGGCCACCTGGCTTCCAGCAATGGCGGTGGGGGCTAGAGCCTAGGGTGGTGTCAGGGAGTAGACTGCGCCATAGATAAGACTACACCATTTTACTAACAGCAGCAACAGCCAAGGCTGGGCCAGGTCAAAGCCAGCAGCCAGGAGCTTCATCGGGGTCTCCTACATGGGTGCAGGGGCCCAAGCACTTGGGCCATCCTCCACTGCTTTCCCAGGCGCATCAGCAGGGAGCTGGCTGGGAAGTGAAGCAGCGGGGGACTCGAACCAGTGCCCCTAAGAGATGCTGGCGGCTTTACCCACTATGCCACAGCGCCGGCCCCCAGAATATTTCTTACCGATGCTAAGGCACAATCTGTTTCTTGTTTTTAAAGAAATAGTTTCACGCTCCGCTGGGCCACATTCCCACCGGGGAACGCGTCTCAGAAGCCTCTGGAATGAATATGCGAGGTGTGCAGATAATGGGTAATATCTCATCCGAATCGCTGCCCATTTCCCCTGCCAGGGGTCAGTTCCTCCAGGGGAAGGCCTTCTGCCGCCTCAGGGGCGCGCTCATGGGACAGGAGGCAGCGACGCCAGGCGCCGGGAGCCAACGGAGGAGGCCTGCGGCTGCCCCCGGCTCCCTGGGGGTCTCCCTGGGGCCCTCCTCGCCCACTGCTCTCAGGATTAACCATCGCTGCCAAGTGCAGGAAGAACTGAACGCACTGCCTCGGGGCAAGGCCGCCGGCAATTCCCCAACGCGCCCGGCCAGGGGCGGAGCCCTCACGTGAGGCCCGGCCTGACTCAGTCCCCCAGCCTCTGCAGAACCCTCTGCCGACCCCGTGACTCAGTTTCTCCATTCGCTCACGCGAGCCAACAGCGTGAAGCACCGGAGCGGAATGCGGAGGGTGCAGCCGACAGCTTCCCCGCGGTGCGTGCTCTCGGGCGGGGCCCCAGAGGCGGGAGGGGATGCTGCCCAGAGAGCGCCTCCTGGGCGCGCCGCGGCCCGGAGGTGAGTGCGCGCGGCCCGAGGTGGCCGACTCTGCCAGGTGCACTGGCGGCATGCCTGAGGAGATGCCGCCCGAGACCCGCCTGTCCAGGAGCCCACTGGGCCGTGGACATAGAGAGACTTCCAGGGAGACGCCCGGTGCCCGCGTCCGAGGACGGCCAGTGCCCGCCGCCGGCTGACGCAATCAGGGGCACCCTTGCTGCATGCCGGTGCTGGGGAAACCTCCCCGGCCCTTGCATCACTCCTGCCAGATTTGCCACAGAGGAGGAGCCGCACCAATCAGCGGGCGCGCTGGGTCCGGGGCCGGCCGGTCGGTCACCCAGTTAGAGGGCGGCGCGGTTAACCGAGAAGCAAATCCCGAAGATGATTGGCCAAAGGGGGATTCGCCCCGCCCCAATCACCGCGGCAGCTGGCAGCGGGGGGGCGGGGCTTTCCGGCCGGAGGGTTTAAAGGGCGCCTCGGTAGGGTCCCCTCAGCTGGAGCGACCGAACGGTGCCAGGCCAGGTGTGCGCGTCCGTCGGTCCTTCCGTGCCCGCGCCGGAGACCAGCCCCGGAGGCCGCTCGGGCCCGTCCCTGAGCCCGGCACCATGAAGCAGGAGTCTGCCGCCCCGAACACCCCGCCCCCCTCGCCGTCTCCGGCGCCGTCCCCCCGGGAGGACGGCGACCCCCAGGCTCTGTGGATTTTCGGGTACGGCTCGCTGGTGTGGAGGCCCGACTTTGCTTACAGCGACAGCCGCGTGGGCTTCGTGCGCGGCTACAGCCGCCGTTTCTGGCAGGGAGACACCTTCCATCGGGGCAGCGACAAGATGGTGAGCATCCGACCGTGCCCCAGGGGCGAGGGGCGGGGAGGCGGGCGGCCGTGCCCTCTGGGCCGAAGGAGGGGAATGTGCAAAGCCTATCAGGAACCTGTGGATCGTTGATCGGATCGTTGTGCTGGCTGCCAGTCTGGGCCACTGCTGCTCCAGTCCGGGGATTTCTCCCAGATCCTCGCATGGCGCCCTGGGACTCTGAGGGCACACAGAGAGGGCCTGCCTAGGCCCAGGCCAGCAGGGTGGAGCAGGGTTTAGCAGGAGTTCTTTGCACTGATGGCAAAGCTGACTTATGACCTGTCTTTCTCCAAATCTCTTTTTTTCCACCCCAGCCTGGCCGTGTGGTGACCCTCCTTGAAGATCATGAGGTAAGTGCTCAAGTGAAGAGGAGGATCTTGGGCCTGCCATGGGGGTGGCGGTGGCGGTGGCGGTGGCGGGTCGGAGCCCGTGGGCTTTGGCTGCAGGGTGGAGCTGCTCAGGAGAAGCACCTGAAAGGCCTCGTTGCAAGGCAGATTTTAACTGGGCAGGGTTAGAGTGGGGCCTGAGGTGCAGCATTCCTACAGCCTTACAGGGGCTGCCACGGGCTCCTGGACCACTCTTGGAGGAGCAACCCTGCCCTCCTTGGGGCTGCACCACCAGATAGGGACTGATGAATTGCAGCTGAGCCACTGGCACCCCCTCCTCCAGAGAGCAGAGTCCTGGGGCGGGGCCCAAGGGTGCTGAGGACCAGCAAGGAGCAATCCAGACTGACCCCAGGTGTCCCTGTTTTCTCCTAGGGCTGCACTTGGGGTGTGGCGTACCAGGTACGAGGTGAGCAAGTGACAGAGGCCCTGAAATACCTGAACGTGCGCGAGGCAGTGCTTGGCGGCTACGACACCAAGGAAGTCACCTTCTATCCCCAAGACGCTCCCGACCAGCCGCTCAAGGCATTGGCCTACGTGGCCACCCCCCAGAACCCTGGCTACCTGGGCCCTGCTCCCGAGGAGGCCATCGCGACGCAGATCCTGGCGTGCCGAGGCTCCTCCGGCCACAACCTCGAGTACTTGCTGCGGCTGGCGGACTTCATGCAGCTCTGCGGGCCTCAAGCGCAGGACGAGCACCTGGAAGCCATTGTGGACGCTGTGGGCACCATGCTGCCCTGCTTCTGCCCCACCGAGCAGGCACTGGCACTGGTCTGAGGGCCTGAGCCCTGTGGACATCGGGGCCAGGTCCCCACTCTAGTGCATAAATCGGACTCGATACAGCTAGAACCCACTAGGAAGACACGGGGGCAGCCGGGGGCTTCTCTTCCTACACCTGCCTGGCTGCCCGCCTGGCTCTGCTGCTGGACACTGACTCACTACTTGAAGCTTTACTTATTGCACCATGTTGGTGCGGTGGGCAGGATGGGGTTCCTGCCCTGGACACAAGGGTCCTGCTGAGCGGTGGCCCCACCCAGGCCCCTGGTGCCTGACCAGGTTCCCCCCAGTGCTGCTGCTAACCCCACACCCCACAGGCCTCCACCTCCCCAGGAGCTCCTGAGAACCTTGGTCCTCTGCCCACCCATTCCCCAGCCCTGCCGAAGCTCCCAGCCCACTGGATGAGGGGCAGCAGGGAGTGAGCGGAGGGGGCCAGACAAGGGCTGGGGCCCCGGCCAGCCCTGCTAATCCACCAGGTGCCCAGAGCAGAGCTGGATCTGATGCCTGGACACAAACGTTGAGACTGGGTCTGGGGCCTCTTACCCATTTGGTTTTATTTCTGTCCCCTGTCTGCTTGTCTGTCTGGGCCTTTCCTGTCTGTCTGGTCTGTTCCTGGGAGACTCATCACCCCAGGCCCCTGCACCTTCTTGTCTGTCCCATGCAACTACTCATAAATAGATCTCTCATTATCTGTGCTGTGCTGGAATACCCTGCTTGCTTTAGGTCGGGGAGGGGTGCTGGTGGGGGATGGGGTGAGCAAGGTGGGGAAACCCTGGAAGGCCCCTAAAAGGAAAGGGGCTCCTTCTTCCTCTCCATCCCTCTCCCTGGGGAGAGCAGGTTCCTCTGCCACCCACACAGTTCATGTCCTTTGGTGCGTGCAAACAGTGCTCTCTGCGTGTTGCAGAACTCAGCTCGGGCAGCTCTGCTTGGCAGCCTGGGGGGCCGGGACCCTGTTTCACCCTCCCCAGCTGCCCTGAGGAGTTGGCGAGCTCGGAACTAAGACCAGGTCTTCCTCCGCCAGCACTGGGGCCGCTTCCTGACAGTGAGATTAGACCCGGCTTCCCGCTAAGGCACCAAGCGCGTCAGGGTAGGGAGTGGCGATGCTGACAGCAGATGGCAGGGACCTAGGGCCTGGAGGACCTGGTGGTGTCCCCTTGATTCCAGGCTCTGAGTGCTCACGCTGTTGCCTCCTGGGGCCATAGTGTCAGCTGTTCCTTCTCCGTTACCCTCACCCACCCTGGAATGAGTCGCCAGGGTGCTACTCGCTCACCTCCTACCTGTGCTGGGTGCTCCACCTCCTGTCCTGGCCCCCAGGGCGGCAGATCACAGCTCCCAGACCTCAGCCTGACTCGGGCTCCTTAACAGAAAGAGGCCCCTTCCTGCCACTCAGCTCCTGGCCCTGTAGGGGGGTAGGATCAAGAGGACAGGACTTTAGCAGCCAAAGAGCCCAAGTCCAAGCCAGCCCCTGCCCTCCCTGACCGGTGACCTCTGGGCATCAGTTGACTCCGAGCGGACCACACCGTGGATTGATGCGTGAGGCAGGCTGTGTGCTACGTGTTGCACATCCGGTGTCCCCGGCAGGGTCAGCTCTGACCAGGCTGGGCCGCCGTTGTGCCCAGGGAGGCTGCCCATCTTGGCAGCCTTGTGTCTTGGCCCTTGATGGGAAGAATGTGGAGTCCAGCCAGATCCTTCTGGGAACCTGGTCAGGAGCAACGGGAGGAGGTGAGCGGCAGCTGGGCCCTGGCCTCTGGGCCGGGGCAGGGCCAGGCAGCCAGCTCAGAGCCCTGCTTTCTGCTGAGGGTTGACCGAGGCTGGGGCAGGCTGCTTGCCGTCTGCCCACGCCTGGCGTGCTTCAAGCCCTTTGTTCAGGCACCACTCTAGGCTCAGGGATCCAGCAGTGGGGAAACCCTCCTCCTCCATTCAGTAGGCAAAGCCCAGTGGGAGAGTTGTGCCCTACACCGTGAAAAGGACCCTAGGGTTGCTAGTGGGGCAGAGGGCTTTCTGGGAGAGGGAGCAGAGAAAAAGGATGTTTGGGGAGCAGGGAGCCAGGGAACTGCGTGTGCTTGCGGTGGGGGGAGGAGGCAAGGTCAGAGGAGCTGGCCCAGCGGGAGGGGCAGGGGGCAGGGCAGGTGGGCTGGCCAGGTGTGCTGAGCCGTGGAGGCAGCATTCCTCCTGGGTCACAGCCGGCCTCCAGTGCATTGGGAGCAGGGACTGCGGGCTGCTGTCAGGTGGAGGGGGAAGGTGGCCTGAGCAGAGCTGTGGCCGCGGAAGGGGCAGGAGCCTGCAGGTGAGCAGGTGAGGCCCGCGGGATTTACTTGGTGACCAGCGGGTGAGAAGGTGCAGACCCTCAAACTCGGCCCCAGTTCCTCCTCCGGCGCTCACCTCGCAGACCGCTGCTGACACCAGATGTGTGGGTTCCTAACTCAGTGTGGTTCTGACCCCTCTACCTGGACCCAGCATCAGAGCCTGTGGGCTGAGGGCTCCGTTCCAGAGACTGCCCCCACTTCAGGTGCGGGCCCCGGCCCCAGCCCCAGCCCCAGCGTGTTCTCCCGGGGTGGGGGGGGTTCCACGATCTCCTCAGGTGTGGCTGATTTGCTCTCGTGGCTCACGAACTCAGGGAAACACGTGTGCTGCCTTATTGTAAAGAACAGCATGGAGGTGCGTGGGGTGGGGGAGGGGCGTCGAGCTTCCACGCTGCCTCCAGGAAGCTTGTGTTTTGCTACCTGAAAACACTGTCCTTTTTTTTCTTTTCTTAAAGAAGCACTTTAAAATTTTTTTATTCTTTTTTTTTTTTTTTTTTTTGACAGGCAGAGTGGACAGTGAGAGAGAGAGACAGAGAGAAAGGTTTTCCTTTGCCGCTGGTTCACCCTCCAATGGCCGCCACGGCTGGCATGCTGCGGCCGGCGCACCGCGCTGATCCAATGGCAGGAGCCAGGTACTCCTCCTGGTCTCCCAAGGGGTGCAGGGCCCAAGCACTTGGGCCATCCTCCACTGCACTCTCTGGCCACAGCAGAGAGCTGGCCTGGAAGGGGGGCAACCGGGACAGAATCTGGCGCCCCGACCGGGACTAGAACCCGGTGTGCCGGCGCTGCAAGGCGGAGGATTAGCCTAGTGAGCCGCAGCGCCGGCCTATTCATTTATTTTCATTTTATTTGAAAGGTAGAGAGAGAAAGATCTTCTATGTGCTAGTTCACTCCCCAGCTGCCAGGGCTGCAACTCCATCCAGGTCTCCCGCACGGGTGGCAGGAAGCCAAGGACCTCTCGGGGAGTGCATTCTGCAGGAAGCTGGATCGGAAGCCGAGCGACCGGGACTCAATCCAGGCACTCAGATACGAGATACCGGCATCCCAAGCAAGGACAGTAACTGCTTCTCTACATGCCCACGCCCTTTGGGGTTTTGATGATGGAAAAGTCACAGCACAGGCAGGAGCGAGAATGGACAGAAAGGGCATGGTCAATGGCAGCAGAGTGGGCAGCAGGGGAGGGAAGGGGCAAGACCCCTTCCAAGTGAGGGTCTTTGCTACCCCACCAGGCGGATTACAGCATTCAAGATGAGTCTCTGTGACCTGCCTTAGAGCCGGGAGCCATGGATGACAACCAAAAAATCCACATCCTGAAGTCAGAGGGCGAAGGTCCAGGCAGGATGGCAGGGCTCCTGGTGGTGAGACAGAGCAGAAAGGGCAGGGCAGGGGCTGCCCTGGGTTGAGGTCGAGGCCTGGGGCAGGGGCAGGGGCAGCACTGCGATGTTAGGGGCGGGGGAGGTGTGTTGGCGTGGGACTCAGGAGAGATGCCCGGGCTGCAGTTAGAGACTTGGGAGCCATTCACTGGGAGAGGGTGCTGGAAGCCCTCGGAGGGGAAAGGAAGATCAGGCGAGGCCTTGCCCGAGGAGCCCTGGCCTGGTGGTGTGGGCAAAGCCGGAGAGGGCTTGGGAACAAAGGGCTGAGAGGGAAGGGGTGGACGGTCTGCCCTGGAGGACACGCACACACGCAGGGGGACAGCGGTCGCCACAGCAGCGTGGAGAAGCACAGGGCAGGGCCGGGGAGCCGGTGGGAAGGAAGCAGGTAGCACTCAGGAAATCTGGCTGTAGGGGGGCAGCTGGGAGGCTGGGGTCTCAGTTGCCCTTTACACAGGGAAAACTGTTGGGGGTCCCAAGAGCTTTTGTTTGTGTGGGGTACGGTGGCCTTCGCCTGCTGTATTAGACACTGAAATGAAGAAGGTGTTTTTTTTTTTGTTTTTTTTTTTTTTTTTGTTTTTTTTTTTTTTTGTTTTTGTTTTTTTGACAGGCAGAGTGGACAGTGAGAGAGAGAGAGAGAGAGAGAAAGGTCTTCCTTTGCCGTTGGTTCACCCTCCAATGGCTGCCGCGGCCGGCACGCTGCGGCCGGCGCACCACGCTGATCCGATGGCAGGAGCCAGGAGCCAGGTGCTTTTCCTGGTCTCCCATGGGGTGCAGGGCCCAAGCACTTGGGCCATCCTCCACTGCACTCCCTGGCCACAGCAGAGGGCTGGCCTGGAAGAGGGGCAACCGGGACAGAATCCGGCGCCCTGACCGGGACTAGAACCCGGTGTGCCGGCGCCGCTAGGCGGAGGATTAGCCTAGTGAGCCGCGGCGCCGGCCAGAAGTTTTTTTTTTTAAGATTTATGTATTTGAAATGCTGAGTGAGCCAGAGAGGGAGAAATGAGAGAGAGAGAGAGAGAGAGAGAGAGAGAGAGAGAGAGAGCGCGCGCGCGAAAGAGAATGATCCGCTGGTTCACTATCCAAATGGCCGCTATGCCTGGTGCTGGGCCAGGCACAAGCCAAGAGCCTGGAGCTCCATCCAGGTCTCCCACATTGGTGGCAGGGGCCCAAGTGCTCCCCAAGGTGCATTAGTAGGGAGCTGGATTGGAAGTGGAGCAGCTGGGACTCATGTGGGATGCTGGCATCACAGACAGCTTAAGCTACCATGCCACAGCACCAACCCTGAAATTGAGAAGTTTAAAACATTCGTTATTTTATTGAAAAAAAAATTTTTAATTTATTTGGAAGGCAGATCATCAGAGAGAGGGAGAGAGAGGAAAGATCTTCCATCCACTGGTTCACTCTCCAAATGCCCACAATAGGCAGGGCTGGGCCAGGCTGAGCCATGAGCTAGGAACTCTATTTGGGTCTCCCACATAGGTGGCACAGGCCCTAGCACTTGGGTCATCTTCCACTGCCTTCCCAGGCACATTAGCAGGGAACTGGACCAGAAGCAGAGCATTTGGGACCTGAACAGCCACTCCAATCGTGTCACAACATCATCACATCATCCCATATTCCTTAGTTAAAAAAAATACAAATGTGGGGCCTGGGGCTGTTACTGTGATACAGTGGGTTAAAGCCATGGCCTGCAGCACTGGCTCCCCACGTGGGTGCTGATTCGAGTCCTGACTGGTTCTGAGACCCAGAGGAAGCTCCAGGTTCCTGGCTTCGGAGCAGCCCAGCTCCAGCCATTTTGACCATTTGGGGAGTGAACCAGCAGGTGGAAGAACCTCTCTCTCTTGCCTCTCAAATAAATAAATAAATAAAATTTTAAATATATATAAAAACAGTAAACCTGTTGCATGTTAACATCTTTTAAAGAAAAAAATTTATTTTCCAAAGCAAATTTAGTGAAGGATGATATTGTTTTATATTTTTAATAGAATGTTTCATTATTTTATTTGCATTTATTTGAGTG